CTTCCTCCCTCCTTCCCCTTCTCTTCCAGATCTCCTCCTTCCCTTGCTTCATTCCTCTTCCTCCTCCCTCCTCCTCTGCCTCCCTCCCCCTCCTCCCTCTCCTCCTCTCCTTCCCCCTTCCCTTCCCTTTCTCTTCTCCATCTCAAAAACTTTACAGGCTGAAAGAAATCCCTCTCTGTTCATCCAGTGTTTGCTTGAGAATCAGCTGAATTCTCCTAAGAATTTAGGTTTTGAATAACAAAAGCCAAAAAGTCTGGCTATTTTGTTTTCTATCCTAACAGAGAGACTTCCCCTAAGGCAATGAGCACATCCCCTCTATCTGCTTAAAGGGGGAAGAAAGTATGGAATTGGGAGAGATGGGGTGAACAAACTCATACCTAAAGATACCTTTTACTCCATCACATCACAGTTCAGGGAAACTGCAATTGGCTTCCCAGGTGGTGTGTGGAGGAGCCTGCTGGGTGCCAAGGAGGTGCCACAGAATGGCCTCAGGGCTCACAGTCTGTGACACACTGTCCACAGCTGGGAAGCACTTTCACCGACAGACTAGTCTGCCCTTCTGGAGCATAGGTGCCATAGGGGAGGGAAGGTGGAGCCAAGGGAATCCAGTCAGCCGGGAATAACTGAGTCCAGGAGCTGCCGAGGGTGGGAGGGGAGGGGGGAGGTTACTGTTCTTGATGGCTTTTGAACACTTTCTAACGAGATCGCATTTTCACCTTTGCACTTATGTTCCTACAGGTACTGCTTTCTGAGGGGCCAATGGCACTCTTGAAAAGGATCCTGATCCCTCCTGTGATATTATGGGGCTCTGGTGGCATCTTAAATCCTTTGAAAAATTAATACATTGATTTAGAAGTGACGCTAAAATGTGAAGACTTCACCAGATTAAAATAAATTCAAACCCAGTTAAATAAAAATGATGTAATAGCAGGCTATTTCTAAATTGTTTATTTCACATAGCATTTTTATTGGTGGCAACTAAGATAACAAATCCTAAGACCTGATAAAATCAACAAATTACCGAGTGCTAATTGTTTCCGCCAGGTGTAAGGGGAAAGATAAATAGCTTATAAATGAAACAGCAGGGTCTGAGGGTGCCATTCCCGGACTCATGGGCCGTTCTGCACTCTCCAGAAAAATAATTTCCTCTTATCCCATAATTAGGCACTTTTACCTTTAAAAACTGCACTCGTTAATGAATACGTTATCCTTCTCCTGCCAAATTTAGAAGAGAATAAATAAGATAACAGGGTCAGTAGTCTAATAAATTAATGTCAATGACATTTTATCCTTTTGTCATCATTGAAACACAGACTATCTTAGATCATATTTGGTCGTCTATGTAATTTTTCCATAAAGAGCTACTTTCCTAGAACTAAAGGGAGATGATCATCGTATCTGGCCCTCCGTGGCCTGGCATCTTTCAAAGCCCGCTCGCACGCCACAGCTGGTCACTGTCATTTAGTATCTTACTTCGGATTCACTTATTAGTGTTACTAAACCATCAAATTTAGTCAATGCCAGTTAATATGTCTTAACTTTATCATGAATGCCAGTTGTTCCCTCTGTTGCTTCCCATCTCAAGTGAGAATTGCAGGGTTGAACATCGCTGCCACATTATTTTACTAAAAATGCAGATGTAGAATGCGATGCAGTGTGAAGGCTTGTTTTCTTTTTTATTCAGCCTCTGAACATCTGGTTAGAAGAGTGTTATCTGGATAAGGTTATTTTTCACTCTGCGTGAGTAATGATATGTCAAACATGTTAGTAATTCTAAGGACAAAAAATATGTCCATTCTTTGTTATTCCTTCCTTCCATCCATCCATACATCCATCCATCCATCCATCCATCCATCCATCCATCCATCCATCCATTCATTTACTTATCCATGCATACATTTATTTCATCATTGATTCTTCTCATGTTTACCAAACTCTTTTGCTTCAGACCCTGTACAGGGTGCTAGATGAAAGACAAATGTGAGTCCGGCACATTTCTTTCTGCTTAGCTCAGAGGGAGAGGCCAAAATTGTAAATATATACTGATTACAGTAAAAAGCTGTAGGCAGGCCCAACCCTGCTGGGCTTAGAAAGGAAGATTCTAGTGAGATGATAAAGCAAGGAGGAACAGCAGAGAGCAGCAGCTTGCAAGCCCCTCATCTGAGTTTGCCTCGGGAGTGAATAAGTGCCTGCCACATCTGGAGTGTGAAGACGATGTGCAGCACTTGACTGGGTTATCCCCACTTTGTTCTCTCAGTAGCCCCATGATGTAGGTACTTCCCTAGCTGCTCTGTAGTGAGGAGCAAGAAGAAAAAAATCTCAGCTTGCCCTGCCCACTGTGACCCTGGGAAAGGAACTTGACCTTTCTGGGCCTCAATTTCTTCCTGTGTTAAATGGAGATCAAAACAGTTTCTACCTCTCAGGCTTTTTGTGAGGATGAAATGAATTTACATAAGTAAATATATACTTGGAATAGGGCGTGAGTTCAATAAATAGCAGCTATTATTACTAATTCCACTGAATAAGCTTCCAGAGTATAATTAAGTGACCCAAATTACCCAGCACACACAATACTGTGTGTAGTGTACCATCAGACCACAGAGGATGATCACCTAATCAAGACTCGGCGCAACCAGGAAAGGCTTCCTGGAGGAAGTGGCATCTGTGCTACGTTTGAAGGAAAGGCTAGGAATTTGCCAGGGAAAGAAGTGGGGAGATATTTCAAGGAGATAGAGCAGACTGTGTGACTCCGGAGGCATGAGCAAGTCTGGTGTGTTGAGGAGACAGGAATGGCTGGGAAGGGGGACAGGGGACAGGGGAGATGGAGGAGTGAGTAGGGCCAGAGCATAGATGAATACCAGCTGAGGAGTTTGGACTGGATCTTGAAGGCCTTGCAGATTCTTTGTTTTGTTTTTCGGTGCTAGTTATGTATTTATGTGAAGGGTGGGAAAAAGTTAAAAATATAGGTAATCTGTACTTACGATTTGCTTACCGTTTCTCTTTAAATGACTTACCCTTTTTTCATAAATTTATTTTTAAAAGGAATTTTGTATTACAGCCATAAATGGTAAGCTCACAATGCCAGATGTATTTTGGATTTCAGATTTTTTTCTGATTTCGAAAGGTAATATAGTGCAAATACCCAACATTAGTTAGCACCCCTAGAGGGGAAAAGAATCAATGCATATTTCTGCAGAGAAATGCATGAATATTTACACAAAGTAAGATAAAGACTATACATAGCTTGCCTCAAATCAGCCTTGGCTCTAAACTTACAAAAAAACCTATCATTTTTCAGATTTTTTTTTTTTTTAATTTTTAATTTTTTTAAATTTTAGAATGTGGATGAGTAGAATAACTTGCTGGAAATAGAAAGTAACAGTAAATATATTCATCGCAAAAGAAGCAATGTGATGAGAGTCCAGCCCACCCTCCCTGCTGTGGCTACTGAAGAGCTCTTACTGGAAAGGAGAGTCACAGCAAGGTGGTCACAGCCTCCGCTGACAATGTTAACGGTGGGGAACTGGGTGCAGGGCGTACAGAAACTCTGTGGGATATTCTTGCAACTTCTCAGCAAATCTAAAACTATTCTAAAGTTAAAAGTTTATTTAAAAAAAAAAAAAGCAGACTAGCACCAAACCAGACTTTCTCCTTGACACTGAGATCTAAGAGAGAATAAAAATGAGACTCACTTTCTCATTTAGTATTCTCATTTTTTGATGCTTCCTCCTCATTTCATTTCACCCAAAATCATTCCATGGACCTCCGCCTTCCCAGGGTGGGAGCCAGGCCCTGGGAAGCCCTCGATGGGTCTGGGCTGGGCCCTATTGTCTCTGAATGCCAGGACAGGAGCTTGGGCTCTCTCTGTAGACAATGAGGTTTCAATATAGGCGTGTAAGTAGATTTGGGAGGAGGGGTGCCTTTGGAAGTCTCATCTAGGGACAAAGGTGAGCAGTTTGGCAGGAGTGGAAGTTGGGCAGAGGGAAGGAAAGGTTGGTGGTCATGAAGAGACAGATATGGGACAGATGTGGGTGAACCGAAGGGTTCTAAGTGGCAGGAATCCAGGCCCACCAGAGGTCCTGGGGGAGGGCCAGGGTATGTAGGAGAGTGTGTTAGGGGGCTGGCTGGAGCAGGAAGCTGACTTCGAGGGGGCCAAGGACACCTGATAGAAAATGTTCCTCATGGGGCTGGAGGCCAGAGCTCAGAGCCAGAGACAGGTTTAAACAGCTCCCTTTCGCAGATCTTACTAAGGCCCTGGAGCAGGAGGACATCTCCAAAAGAGAGAGAAGAACACTCCTCTTCCCCAGCACTCTACCTACCTCTACCTCCACCCCGCTCTGGTTTAAATTGAGGAGGAAGGAGAAGAGACCCAAGCTTCCTACAAACTGGGAAATTGGCAGAGGGGCGCTCATTCCTAAGCTTGGTTCCTGGTTGTTAACTGCAAAGCCAGTGGAATTGGGATCTAATTGGCCAAGGATGAAGATCCTCCCCTAGAGCAGTGGTCCCCCAAACTTTAGGCATCAAGGACGTGCTCCTAGGAGAATCTAATGCCCGATGCTCTGCCTGCGGTAGAGCTGAGATAGTGATGCTAGGGCTGGGGAGCGGCTGCAAATACAGATGAAGCTTCTCTTGCTTGCCAGACACTCACCGCCCGCTGTGCAGCCGGGTTCCTAACAGGCCACGGACCAGTACCAGTCCATGGCCTGGGGGTCGGGAACTCTTGCTCTAGAGGACTCCAAGCCCAAGGCTGCCTAAGCAGGGAGCTGGTCTGCCAAAAGCAAAAGAACCAATACAACAACAAGGAAAGATGCACATGGAGAAGTTTTAGTGAAGGCAAAGAAACAGGGCTTGCCCCTTGAGAGTCTGCAGGCAGACTGTGTGCACGCAGAGGACACCATCCTGCCCACGTGCCTGTTTTTGCCCCCCAACTCTCTCCTGGCCATTAGCCCCTTGCCTGAGCCACCAATACCAGGGACCCTGTGCCAAGCCTATGCCATTCTGGGACTTAGGCCAGCTGCTGGAAGCAGGAGAGAAACTGGAGCCCAGAGCTGGTGACCAAACCTGGGTCTCGGCTGAGGGGAGAGGAGCCCTGAGCAGAGGCCACCATGGCCTTGGCCCTCCCACAGGGCCTTGGCCCTCTAGAGTCAATCCCTTGCCCCCTGGGGTGGGAGGAGTGGCAGCCGACTGTGGGCCTGCCTGGGAAATCGGTCAGCCTGACATCCCCAGCAGATGTCAGTCTGGGAACAGGAAGCAGCTTGTTTGGGTTTCTATAAATAAATAAATAAATAATAACCACAACCACAAGAACAGTCTTTTATTCCAAAGTAAAAAATGCTTTAATGACTAGAGCATTTAACACATCGGGGGTTTTTATTGTTTTCAATTATGTGTAATTCTGAAAGGAGAGCACAAATTCTGAGCCTGAATGGAGAATTGTGGGGCTTCGGATTTGTGCTGTTTCAAACATTTGCTTTACTACTTTAAGAAGAGAACTGTAAAATGGAAATAATGATATATTATTACAAGTAAATTACACTGTGGAGTAGCATTAATATTGCAGTTGAAACCTAGAATTTGAAATAAAGATGGAAATATTCATTTGTACATAGTTTTTGTTCTTAGAAAAATGATTCGGAATTAGGCAAGAAGCTTCCTTCTGCGTGTGTGCACCCAGCGGGGACGGGAGGGTTTGGGGGCGCTGAGCGCTTCCAGGCCCACACTACCCCGCTGGGGCTAGGCACAGGGCCCCAGGCACCTGTGGGACAAGGAACCTGAGTCAACAACCCCCGGGGAGGGGGAAAGAGCACTGGCCCCGGGTGGGGCCCCATGTTCCTTTAGCAAGGGGGAAATTAATTAATTATAGAAATGTGTGATTTAAAAAGGAGAAATCTCTGGAGTCTGGGGTGGTGGAAGGACCTAATAGTCCTAGATGCTT